TATTATTATTCTTTTTATAATTTGCATAAAATAAATTACATTTTAAAATTTTATTTTTTTATCAATAATTAAAAAATACAGTCAAGCCAGAACAGGCTCCGCCTTACTTGTTTTTCTCTGGAGTAAGTATAACAAACAATTAATATTATATTCATTAAAATTAAGTTTTTTGGAGTATATTCGATTTAAGAAATTCTAAATGGCCACCGAAACAAATCTTCTAGAGAGGCTGGCCGTCGTCCTCTGAATAAGTCATGCATAAATGTCAAACTGACAAAGCAATTTCTTATTATGTGTTGAAGCACAGGAAAGTCGTATTTGACCACCGTAATTTCTTTCTTTAAAACCCCTAAAATCTCAAAATCCATGCAAGTCTGATTTTCCAAATTATCTCTGGGCATTACTTAACACACACTTCTCATACAAAGTTCATAAAAAAAAAAGCGCAAATTCCATGATATCATCTCTTGGGAACCCATTGCTTATCCTCTTAGTAATTAGTAGTATCTTTGTCCTTCCGGCAGCTGGACAAGGTAACCCCAGTGTAAGTGTGGGTGACTCTCTCCTTGCTAATGATGACAACCTTACTTGGCAATCTCCTTCAGTTGATTTTGCATTTGGGTTTCGTCAAGTTCCAGACGAACAAGATCGATTCCTCCTTGCTATCTGGTTTGACAAGATTCAGAATAAAACCATAGTTTGGTCAGCAAATGTAACCGTGGAGAAAGGATCCTGGGTGGAGCTTACCAATGATGGCCTTGTACTTAGGGCTCCCTCTGGCGTGGAGCAATGGAGGTCTAACATCAAGGGAGATGGTGGCACAGGGGTATCCAATGCATCCATGCTAGACAACGGAAACTTTGTGATAAAAAACAGGAACTCAGGCAACTTGTGGGAGAGCTTCAAAGATCCAACAGACACGCTCTTGCCAGGACAAGTGCTACGCAATGATAGCATGCTTTCATCAGCCTTGTCCCCAACAAGCTACAAGAGGGGAAAATTTCAACTCCGCTTCTCCTCTGGTTCTCTAGTACTCAATCAAATAGATGTCTTCAACAAGAAACCTTTCAATCATTACTTCAACATCACAAATGGTGTCAGCTTGATCTTCAACGAATCCGGGTATATACAGATCGAGGACTCAAGCGGAAACAAAACCAACATTGCACCAACAACAGCTGCCCCAGGAAAGGACTCGTATTACAGAGCAACACTTGATTTTGATGGAGTATTCACCCTGTATTCTCACTCAAAGATCTCCAACGGAGATGAAGACTGGTCATCCTGGTGGCATGCACTGAACGGTCAAGGTAAAGATATCTGCTCCAGCTTTTGGAATGCACCAGATCTGGGAAGCGGACCTTGTGGGTACAACAGCATCTGTCACACTGACCAGAACGGGAGAGCTATTTGCGAATGTCCCCTTGGATTTTCCTTCCTGGATGTCAAGAATCCGCACTACGGATGCAGGCCAGATTACCAGAGCTACCCGGGAGACTGTAATGAGGATGGCTCCACTACTAAGGACTATCGTTTAGATTTCAAGTCAATGAGATTTGTGGATTGGCCTGCGAGTGACTATGAAACCCTGAATCGTGTAAATGAGACTGACTGCTGGAAGTCTTGCCTTCTTGACTGTACTTGTGCAGTAGCCATCCTGGAAGAACCAGAGCTGAGCAATGGCATTGGCCGCTGCTGGAAGAAGAAACTGCCACTTTCAAATGGGCGGAAGGATAACGAAAACATTAATAGAAAAGTGCTCATCAAGACACTGATATCGAATGAATCTTTCAACCCAGCTTCCACTCCAAATCCAGATAAAGAAAAGCAGAATCAACCTGTACTCATTCTGGCAGTCCTATTGGGCACATCTGCGTTTTTCAACATCTTTACTGTGGCTGTGTTTTCCCTGATCCTCTTCTTCTTCTACCAAAGAAAGCTTCAAGAGCTCAGTAGAATCGGCACGAAAGGAGAGAATGAGATGAATCTACATTCTTTCACATACAACGAACTCGAAGAAGCCACAAAAGGATTCAAGGAAGAACTGGGAAAGGGTGCTTCTGGAACTGTTTATAAAGGAGAACTTTCTAGGACTTATGTTGCCGTAAAGAAACTAGACAACATTCTTCAAGAAAGGGAGAAGGAGTTCAAGACAGAAGTGAATGTGATTGGACAAACTCATCACCGGAATCTGGTTAGATTGCTTGGATACTGTGATGAGGCTGAGCACCAGCTTTTGGTGTTTGAGTTGATGCAGAACGGATCACTTGCAAGCTTCCTATTTGGAGCTCTAAGGCCCAGTTGGCAACAGAGATTACAGATTGCCTCTGGGATTGCAAGAGGACTCAGATACCTGCACGAAGAATGCAGCACTCAGATCATTCACTGTGACATAAAGCCTCAAAACATTCTCCTCGATGATTCTTTCACGGCAAAAATCTCTGATTTTGGATTGGCAAAGCTGTTGATGAACAGCAAGAGCAGGACGCTGACAGGTATCAGGGGGACTAAAGGGTACGTGGCCCCGGAGTGGTTTAGGAGCGTCCCTGTCACAGTGAAAGTAGATGTATACAGCTTCGGGGTTATGCTATTGGAGATCGTCTGTTGCAGAAGATGTGTCAGGTTTGAGATGGAGGAGGCAGCAATCCTGACAGAATGGGCATATGATTGCTACATTGAAGGTATGCTGGATAAGTTGGTCGAAAATGATGAAGAGGCTAGAAATAACATGGGGAGGGTGGAGACGCTGGTGAAGGTAGCAATGTGGTGCGTGCAAGAAGAGCCTTCACAGAGGCCTTCCATGAGGGCAGTCACTATGATGCTTGAAGGCGCTGTCCTAGTTCCTGCTCCTCCATGCCCCTTCCCATACAGCTCCAAGTCTCATCATTCATTAACATGAAATCCAAGTTACTGGTAGTTAAGCAAGATTATTGGCAAGATTTTTCCTTTTCCACTACTGCATTAAGGACAGATTTAAGTCACTGCTATCAAAATCCTCTTCTTCATTTAACTCATGTATCTTAAAATGTTCCATTATACAATAAAGAATATCAAAATAAAGGAAAACGAGGAAAAAGTAAAGGTTGTCTTTTATGTGTGCACGTGACTTCTCAAATGTTAGCTCCGACCATGTCGAGACTTGCTTGCTTGAGAGGCCAAAGCTAATGCCTTGGCTCTTGGGCTTGACATCATCCATTCCCTCTCTGCACGGCGCTGATGTTGTCTTGCATTCTTTGCACGCTTTGGTGCTAATCGTGTGTCCCTTTCCACAAAAGCAAGTCTAAATTTTTCTGCAATGGATAGTTCAGTGGGGTTTGAGAGAGACGGAGACATGGTCCTTAGTGTAGGCCCACAAACAATCCAAGTTTTTGGATCGATGTCCTTGACCAAGGGATCATCCAAGGCAATATCTGGCAGTGCCTCTCTTGGAACTTCAGTCCCCTTGAAACCAAAGAGTGATGGCTTTGGATTAACTGTAACGCGGGGACATTCGGATGACAACATCTCCATCGAATTTTTATCAACCTTTGGCTGAGGAATAGAAAAGGAATGAAGAGGATTATATCATACATGCCAAAGAAGAACGAAAAAGACAAGTAGAAAACAAGTTTCCCAAACATCATGAGGAAAGACAAAGTTACACTAAGAAACAATCATCATTAAGAAAGAGTAAGACGTACCCAAACAAGCCAACGCAATGACTGTGCACCGTGACCAATCTCCATGGTATCAAGTTCCTCCCATGAATCTCCCTCCACATAGTTCAGCTTTGGTTTGAAAACACCCAAGCATCTGCGAGCAGTGGATTCACTAGCAGGGCACCCTCTGCAATATTAACTTTGGTTCATAGCC